TTGAAAAATTTTAAATTTATAACACCATTTTTAGTAAATATTAATTGTTTAAGTCCATTTTATAGTTCATTTTTATGATTTTCACTATTCGTTAATTGTCTTTAATTTCTTTCACTTCAGATACGTTCAAATAATTATGTTTTTTGGAAGTAATACAAAAACTGATTTTTCCCAATAAAAGTATATCTATTTAACTTTAAAAACCTAAAATAGTTTTTAAATTAGTCAAATTTTTAAGAAATTACAACGTTTTTTGTGAAAAAAGTCAATTTTGCAATTTTTTGGTGTTTTTTTGGGTTTTTATGGTTTTTTTTCAAATTTTTTTCAATTCATCAAAATAAGAATAATATTATTGTATTCCTTACTAAAAAACCAATCATTTCATTATAATTAATTTTTTTACGTCAAATATAAACCTTATAAAACAAGTTTAAAGCGTGGGGTGTCGGGACACCCCAGTTACTCCTTAGAGCGTGAGTAAATTAACGTACTCCTTCTAGGGTTAATAATTATAATAATAAATATTATTGATATTATTTCTATGCATATATGTAATTTTTTTTATAAATAATTACCCGTTTTCTTGATTTTTTTGTTAAATAAGCAAACAACTTTAAATAAACTAATTTATTTGTAAAACCGAAAGACCAGATTACAGTCCATTAATCTACAAGTATTTTTAAAAAAACAATATCCGTTAAGTGGTTTTCGACGAATTGGTACCTAAGTGATCTGACATTTTGAATTTTTAAAATCGAACTTCAGATTCGTAATCAGCAATACCGAAAACCTCCGAGTAACAAATTTGAAGCTAATATATGTAGTTTTTATATTGTCGTCCGACATATTGGAGCCGACATTTTGAATTTTTTAAATCTGACTTCAGGTTAGCAATCAGCGACCTCAAAAACTTTTGAACAACAAATTTGAAGCCAATACGATGAATTTTTAATATTGTCGTCCTCCATATTGGAGCCGCCATTTTGAATTTTTTAAATTTGACTTTAGATTCGTAATTAGCGACCCCGAAAACCCCCGAGTAACAAATTTCAATCGATTTCATGAACTTTTGAAAATTGTATCCATCCTGTGTTAAATTTTGGAAAATTGTTTATTTTCAGGCGCCATTTTGAATAAAAAAATACCAAAAATCTTAAAACGCAAAACATATTTTCAAACTTAAACTATCGGGATCACGTTTTCTATACCTTAGATGATTTGGAAAAATCGATATGACAACTAAAATTGGATATGAAAAAAAATTGCTTTCCAAAATCTTGTATTTTTTGAGTATTTTTGAAAAAATAAGGGTTAATCGCCACTTTTTGGAAATTTTGACCATGCCATTCGAAAGAGCGACCCTAAAAACGTATGGATATGTCCTTATAGAATTTTTTGCTTTTAATATTATGAGCTTGAAACCGAAGTTAAAAATCAGCACATTTGGGCGTTAAAGGGTTAAAAATGTAAAAAAAATAAAAACTTCTGCCCAGAAAAATGAAAAATCACGAAAATTGGGCAATATTTATTTGATCACTAGAAAAAGATTTTCTTTGGTCCCGTAGCTATTTTTATAAATAATTAATTTTAAACTTTTAATATTTTCTATCAGGTTAATACCTACCCAATGGGAAATGCCAGTGTAGTGCCGATGTTCACCACTGGCTTAGTACTCAGACGATTGTTCGGCGTAGTCTAGCCGAGCCTCGACAATTAGTGCTGGCGCAGTACAGAATTTTTGTTTCGCCAAAGCTTGAACAAGCCACGGCGGCAAGTGCTGGCTGAGTATAGAAAAATTGTTCACAACGCTCTTTGCCAACATTGCTTTTTTGACATAAACTTGAAAAAAATTTAAAAAAGTTTATGAATGTTTATAAATATAAATTTATTAAAAAAAATTAATATTTTACTTTTCAGTTGTTCATTTTTTATTGTTATTAAATTTAATAATAATAATTTAACATAATTGTCTAATTTTGTAAATAATAAATTATTTAAACAAATTAAAATTATAAACAAAATTTAAACTTTAATCTCAATAATAATTTGGTTCCTATTAAAATACTATTATACTTCTTACTATGAATAAAAAATTATTAAAAAATTACCACGTAATTTAAGAATTACGTAAAATGTTAAATGCAATTAGTAAAGTAATTTAATTTAATTATTAAAAATTTACTTTAATTTATTTTATTTCAATTTATTATTTCTAACGTATCCCTATTTTTTTCTCATCTTTGACTCAATAATTGTATGTCTGAATGATACTGAGATATTAATACTTTACTGTACACATGTGTCGTTAGCATAGTGGTTAGAGCGTTAGTCTGTTAGTCCGTAGGTCGTAGGTTCGATTCCCTTCGTCAGCAATTTTGTTTATTTTCATAGGTTTGCGATATTTCTAGATTCCAATCGTTAGGTACTAAAATATGAAAATCTAATGCACACTTACTGTAATTGTTTATTATTTAATTTTTAAATGTTATAAACAATCTTTTTTAACTTCATTTAATATATCCATTGTTAGTCTTCATCTTTAATACAATTTCTTTAAGAAGAGAAATATTTTATGAATAATAACTATTTATAAATATTATTTATAAATAGTTCATTTTCTGTCCATTTTCTTGTTAAATTATTTATAATTATTAATTTACGACTAATTAACAACAATACGGCATTTATTGCGGCAATATTCTCAGCCAGTACTGCGCCAGCGTTAGACAGCGTTATCATCCCAGAGTTATGCCAGTACTGTCTGTCAGCGTAGCTGCCAGTGCTGGTGCAGTACTCCGCCAGTTGTAAATTTCCCATTGGGATATTGACCAATTTTCGTGATTTTTCATTTTTCTGGGCAGAAGTTATTTACATTTTTAAATGATGAAAATAAGCAAAGTGACAGTTTTAATTGCTTATTTTTTAACATTTGTGAAGAAAAAAGGAAGAAAGTGAGAAGAAAAACAATAAGTTAATCACAGGTAATTTATATTTCATAAGGTTTTATTCAATTTATTGATTTCTCTTTTTCACATTTAGTGAATGAAAATTGCAAAAATAGGTTATTTGCCAGGTGAACTTTAAAATAATTTTTTATTTAATATTTCTTATTAATAATTTTTTCTATCAATTTATAATAATAAAATAATTCATTCCTAATAAATTTTACTAATTTTTTTACGTTTTTATAGTAAATTATGTGTTTTCTTTAATATTTTCTAATAGATGAAAATGTGACACTTTTTACGACTTCATATACTTTAGATGCTTATTTTACCATAAATATAAAAAATATTTAAAAAATTCTTTTTGTTCTGTGATTCTAATATCTTTAAAATCATTCCTGCAAAATATTATAATTTTTAAAATTTAGTCGGCAATGACTTTAGTCGAAATATAATGGAATGACTCTTTTAAAAAATTTTTATTTTGTCCATGGTTTCTGAAAAAAATAAATCGTCTCTCACCGCTGGGGTATGATCCCAGAACCTTCCTATTGCCGGTAGGATGCTCTAACCAATTGAGCTACAGAGAGATCATACCCCAGCGGTGAGAGACGATTCATTTTTTTCATAAACCATGGACAAAATAAAAATTTTGAAAAAAGAAATTAAAAATAATTTTTGCCTTATCGATATGATAAGTAAAATAAATTTCCGTTAGAAGACACTTAATTACCATCTTACAAGAATAAAAAAAAGATACATACATTGTTAAAAATGAAATTTTATTTTAAAAATTTTCAAATTTTATCGTAAATTATTTTAGAATTTTTAAAAAATATTTTTATTAAAAACTACATGTGAAAACAAAACTTTTCATTATAAAAACGTACAATTTGATCAATTTTTGACCGAGTTATAAGCATTTAAAAAAAAATTTACGTAAAAAACGTCATTTTTAAAAAATCTGTATCTCCTGAACCGCTTTATGAAAGAATTTAAGAAAAATCAAAGTAGATCATATCAAAGAGTACTAATAGAAAAAAAATGTTTAAAAAAAATTTGAGATGCAAAAGCAAAATGATTTCCGACTTGGCCTGGAATGGCCCATATTTATTTAAAGTATGCGCAGAATCGTAATGCAAATTGATACTCAAATTAATTTTTATAAATAAAAGTATTTTGTAGAATTATTACAATTTTTTGTGTACAGAAAATCACCGAGACAATTAAAATCATTAAAGTGTGACTTCTAAAGAGCCTCGGCAAAAAATGATTGTTTTCGTACCTCAAATGTTTATACTTTTTCTAAGCTAAATGGTCACTTATAATGACTCAATAATCCCTGAAAAATATTAAGGTGACTATATGCTCCGTTTAGGAAATAAAGAGGGTCAAAACTAGCCATGTCCAATAAAAAATATTTATCGATTTTACATTTATACTCGAATATTAATTTAAAAAAATATTAAGCAGCTGATTACGAATCTGAAAACAAACTGTAAGAATTCAAAATTGCAGATCTTATTTGACATTTAAATTTTACAACAATAATTTATCGGATTCACTTGAAACTTGTTACACAAGGCTTTTTGGGGTCTTTAATTACGAATTTTATGTTAGATTTAAAAAATTCAAAATAGCGGACAAAATATGGGGGATCAGTTGTTCCCCATATTTAGGATCAGGGGTTCAAAGAAGAGGCTCTCTCCTAGCGCAGAAAACAGTGTTCGGATGGATAATATAACTGGACCAACCAAGAGATCGAGGAGCAGACATGTTGCCAATGCAGCTATCACGACAATGACAGATGAAGAAGGAACTTGGCATGAGAAACTTGTGACCCTTCTCCAGAAATTTTGGTCCATAGAGGACATTCCCCGTAAGCCTCGGGTTTCACATGATGATCTGAGCTGTGAAAAAATCTTCACATCTCAATTCAGCCGGGACAATGTCGGACGCTATATCGTTCCGTTGCCAATGAAAGACAACACTCGATCTGCACTAGGTGATAGTATTCATGCAGCTTAACTCGCCTTGACTTATTAGCAACGGAGGATGCAAAAGGATGAGCAATTTAAAGAGGCATACGTCAACTTCATGGACGAGTATCTCCAACTGGGACACATGAGACCATTGACAGCACGAGAGATTAAAGATCCTGTAGGCATGTCAAATTATATCCCTCACCAGGGGATCTGGCAGCGCGCTGATAATGCAATGAAGTTTCGAGTTGTCTTCGATGCTTCTCGGAAAACAACATCAGGTAGAAGTCTGAACGATGTCCTTCACTCTGGCCCAAAACTGCAGAACAGCCTGGCTGCCGTGATTAGTCGTTGGAGAAGACACAAGGTAGCCTACTGCGCTGACATTAAGATGATGGTTAGACAGATCCTAGTCAGACAGTCAGACACTCACCTGCAACGAGTAATCTGGAGCCCCGACCAAGACCAATCCCCGAAGCATTTCGCTCTGCTCACGGTAACATATGGAGAGACTTGCGCTCCGTACCTAGCCCTTCGCACCCTACAACAGCTCTGCAAGGATGAAGGAGGTGCATTTCCGGAGGCAGTAAAATCAATCATGCAAGACCTCTACGTCTCGACTTCTTAAGTGGCGGGGAAGATCTGGCGGATGCTAGGCGACGCAGAGACCAACTCATAGAGCTATTGAAGAAAGGTGGCTTTGAATTAAAAAAATGGGTTTCCAATCATTCAGAAATGATGGACGATATACATCTTTCCGATAGACTGCGTCCCAGCTGGCAACATTTCGAGGTCGGAGGTCTCGTCAACGAACTGGGAACAGCATGGGATCCAGTCGCCGACCAATTCAGATTTTCACCTCCAAAGCTTGACCATGGAGAACACGTGACCAAGCGCACAGCTCTAGCTGAACTTGCCCGACTGTTTGACCCAGTTGGTTGGCTTGCGCCATTGATCTTGGTGGACAAGATGCAGATTCAGGACTTCTGGAGAGCCAGACTGTCTTGGGACGAAAAGCTTCGTCCCTCGATGACTCAACGCTGGAGAGAGTTCAGGGAAAATATCACCAAGATCACCACATTGATCGAGTTCAGTCCCGGCAAAAAGTTGCAACTGCACGTATTCGCTGATGCGAGCCAACGCGCCATGGCAGCTGCTGTTTATTCCCGCATCTTGTGCGCATCAGAAACCACCTCGACTCGCCTGGTTACCGCCAAGACTGCTATGCTTGGAGCGACTCACAGGTAGTCATCCATTGGCTCTCGTCTAGTGAACCCGTCGACAATGACCTAGTTGACAACTATATCAACCACATCCAAAAGTTACTGCCCGGCATTACCTGGCGTCATGTGCCCACGGATAGCAATCCAGCCGATCTTGCCACAAGAGGTACAAGCACTGCCAAGCTCGCCGCACATGCGACATGGTGGAATGGCCCTCCTTGGCTTCAGGAGGCTGAATAAATCGCTCAACAACAAGATTTCACTACAGAGATTCATAGTTTGGAGCGTGAAGGCAATGTGTGCGTCGGAAGTCCCACTGCTCGACTGAAACCCTATTTAGACGAGCATCAAGTATTAAGGGTCGGTGGCAGATTAGAGAATTCATCCCTGAGTGATGAGGAGAAGCACCCGCCTATTCAGCTGGTCGCTGCCAACTTGCATGGCTTATCATAGACTAGGCACATCAAAAGGCACTACATGCGGGTCCTACCATCACCTACGTATACACGTTAAGACGAGCTTGGATCCAATGCGTAGTTTGCACCAAAACATCCAGTAGAACATCGACTCAGCTAATGGCTGATCTCCCTGCAGCACGTGTCAACCCGGCAGACCCATTCAGTAAAACTGGTGTCGATTACGATGGACCTTTCGAGGTGCTGCAAACGAAAGGGCGGGGCGCCTCATCAACAAAAGGCTATGTCGCAGTTTTCGTCTGTCTTATAACCAAGGCGATAGACCTAGAACTCGTTGGCGACCTTACCACCGAAAGTTTTCTAGCAGCGTTGACACGTTTTACAGGCCGCCGCGGACGGCCACTCGAATTATGGAGCGATAACGCCACAAACTTTCGTGGAGCAGACCTCGAGCTTCGCAGATTGTTTCAAGATGCCAAACTAGACTGGCACAAGGTAGAGGACAGTCTCGCTCAAGAGAGCATAAGATGGCAGTTCATACCACCTTCCGCCCCACACTTCGGCGGGCTTTGGGAGGCCGGAGTCAAATCCATGAACCTGCGCCGAGTCGCTGGTTTACGAAATCTCGTCTATGAAGAGTTTGCAACTCTCCTAGTGGAAATTGAAATGGTGCTCAATAGCCGTCCACTGGTACCCCTTACCGGCGATTTGGAGGATCTCAATACGCTTACCCCAGGTCACTTTCTAATTGGCAGGGCACTAAACTCCCTTCCCCAGCCACCATCGTCCGATAGGAATTTGGACCGCCTGTCCCATTGGTGGTCAAGGGACTACCTCAATACTCTACAGAAGAGGAGCAAGTGGACAAGATCACGACCTAATCTGAAGGTCGGAGAGATGGTGGTGGTGATAGATCCTTCACTACTTGGACCCTCTGGTGGCTGGCCCATTGGACGCATCATGAAAACTCACGGTGGTCCAGATCAACTTATACTAGTGGCGACTGTGAAGACACAACGCGGCACATACACCAGGCCTGTGACAAAGCTGGTTCAGCTCCCCGTCACCACTACATAAGACGTCCTTCAGAACGGACGCTCAACGGCGGGCGGCAAGGATTCAGTTATCACCCTACATTGAAGTTCATAGATTTAAGTTTTCGTTTTTCTTTGTCAATTCATATTTTCGTTCTCCATTGAAATTCATAGATTTGCGTTTGAATCCTTACTCTATTCATGTTGTTAATTTATCAAACAAAAAAAATAATTTGATTTGTTCAAGGAACAAGGCGGGCGGCAATGTTCGAGATTTTTGGGTCTCCCGCTCACTAAGTTTGGTGCCCCACTCTTGCTCACGTTTGAGAGGGAGAGTTGGGCGGAGTCTTGTGAACCACCTTAATCACGAGCGATTGAAGTTGAGTTAGTTGTGAATGATCGGTCTACTTGTAACGACGAGATATATAAATAACTTCTTTTGACCACCTATTGTGTACATTTTAATATCAATTACCATAAGTTGTCGTTGAGCCTCATGGGCGCTGTAGTCAGTTGGGTCTTGTACCTTGTCGAGAGAGCGTCGATTGAATACTTTCAATAAAGAGTTTCTTACTAAAATCTATCTCAATTATAAATAACTACCATAAACCAATAGGTTATAGGCCCTACACTCTTCCACTACGGGAAGGAATACAAAGTGACTAAATAGTGCTCTTTGAGGAAGAGAAAATCTAAGTGTATTGATCACGAGTGGAATATTTTTTTTACCTATTTATTTAGTCAGTCTAAACCAAGGGAAGAGTCAAAGAGAAAAGAGAGCTCGCGGTGGATACGAGATAAGTGCAGACATTAAGACTTACGAGAGAAAATAAAGAAAAATTAAAAAAAAAGTAAGTAAAATCAAATTATTTTATCACTTAACCTATAAAAAAAGAGAGGGAAAATTGGTCATTGCAATGAAACGGAAGTCGACAATGCTACGTCATTGTGCGCGACTCACTTAACAGTAAATACGCAACTAACGTTTACGTACGTATATAAACGAAAAACTAATGTACATTGATATAAAACGAGTCATTGTGCATTAGTATAGAGTGAGAAAAATAAAGACAGAGTATTTTTTTTTATTTTTTTTATTTTTTGCATGTGTGAGTCAGTCGTATATATTTATACGCACACATACAAATAGAGAAAGAAAAATAAGAAAGAGACAAATTGAAAGATTGTTAAAATCTAACGTTTGAGGGATCCCTGAGTAGAGTAAAATTAAACGTATAATATAGATTTTAACAGAAAGGTTTAAATGTACTGAAAATTGGTTAACCTGAGTAGATTTGAAATAAAACTAGAGCCATTTTAAAATAAAACCTCAGTAATTTAAAAAATATAATGAAACTACGTTTGAGATAAAATTAGAGTTAATTTAATGTAAAATGAGGTTAGGTTTGGAACAGAAACCAAAATAAATATAAAAGATCAAAACAAAGTAAAAATAATTTATAGAAAAATAATAAATTAATAATAAAATAAAAATAAAAAAATTTTTTTATTGAACAAATCCTAATACATATTTATATTTTAGGATCAAATATGGAGAGAGTCAGAGAAGTTTTCTGTAGAGAGTGGAATATCAGATGTGTTTACAAACCTCATGAGCCTAACAGAGTAAAAATATTAAAATGGAAAAATGATGTATTGGTTTTTGCTATATCATCAACAGTTATAGTAAAGTTTAATCAGTATTTAACCCCAGAAGAACTGGAACTTATAATAAGTTATTGGCCACAGGACCAAGATGCAATTAACTTCACACCACCAAACAAAGAACGAGCTACACCTATTAAAGAGGAAAGTACTAATAGAGCTGAGTAATAGAAACACAAATTAAATCTGTAAAGAGTAATGTTGGAAAATAAAATATAGAAACAAACATGTCACAACCAGTAACTGTTCAATTGTTAATGGATTTTCTGAGTCAAGGCATGATTCAAATGGAAAATAGATTTAAAAATATTGTAATTTAAATAGGAAGAATTATCATGTTAAAATTTTTAAGTTTGAATGACATTCTATACATGTCATATGATCGGTAAAGTAGGTTACTACTCTAAATACATGAATATTTCGAACCGATGATCGTAAAATAGGTATATTACTATTATTAAATATTTATTTGTAAAAGAAAATTTCTTACTGTTTATTATTTTTTAAATTTTACTTCCAATTATTTTTTAATCCTAATTTTTTTTCATGCCCGCCCCGACTGAGTTATTTTTTATTATTCAAACAATAATTAGTTAACGTACTTTCGGCTGGGGATGCAGAAAAATTGTATACGACACACGGACAGAAATTTGGATACCCTGGCGAGCGTGATATTTAAGCCTCGGCCTTATATATCACGCCGGCCAGGAAATCCAACTTTCTGGCCTAGTATCGTAATATACTATCCCTTCAATTTTATGACGGTCAGTTGACCTTTTTCCAGGTAAAAAAGGGTATCGACTTTGTATAAAAAACCTGACTACTTTTGAAGCTTTCTGATTAAACATGACTCAAGTCTGACGTTCTGTGGCTGTAATTGTAACAAATGCAGCCTAAAATCATCAGAGATTCTGACTAAATTTCTGTCGTTTTGTGATTTTATTTTTAGTAGGGACTATAACAAATTATTTCTTAAATATTTGTTGTAATAATTTAGGTGTATAGAGTTGTCAAATACCGTTGAGTATTGTTATAATTATAATATAATTCAACCACATGGTTAAATGAATTGACTTATATATTTTATATAACTAATTTATATAATTTATATAATTAATACAGTTCAGAAAATTTTTCAATATATTTTAATATAACTGATATAAACTTTAGTTTGCAAGTTATCTATGTTATTCGATTGATAGTAAAATTAACCATTAGAAACAATCATAATAGATAGATTTGGATACCATAATGTTTGAAAGTCAAAGATATGTTTAGTTCCAGACTACTGTAATTAAATAAAATTAGCCTATTGAAAAAAATTGTTTGAGATTTAATTCCAGAGATTTATATAGATATAAAACTCTAATTAGATCATGAGATAGAAAATATTGAAGATTATTGAAAATAGATTAGGTTTGAACAGGTAAAGAAATTATAGATTAAGATAAAATTTAAGTGATTCGTATGGATGTAAAATACAATGGATAAATGTAAGGATTACAAGAGATTAACAAAGAAGAAACCAGAATAAATTTGGATAGTAAAGTTAAGATGAATAGTGATTGATTAAATTTTGAATTAAGAATATATTAATAAGGATTGAATTGATAGTGTTATGATTGGTTTGAATAACATTCTTGAGATTTATTTGTATACCTACAAATTTATGTGGATGAAAAGAAGGATACATATGGATTGCCATGAATAACTATAGAATAAAACAGGAATGACACGAATAAAACAATATAGAAATAATCTATCTTTATTAAGGGCATGTCCAAGGTGTAAAATGTAAACAAACCAAAAGGTAAACAAACCAAGCACTAAAATCGCACTTTTGTAACAGACGTTTCTCTTACAAAAATTAATATTTTTTCACACTCTTTACAAAAATGGAAAATTAGAGTGTCAAAGTGTCCAATAAAATCATTTTTGACTATAAGAAATAAAAAGCAATTAGTAAATTAACTAATTAAAATTACCTGTAAAATAGCATTTTTGACGCGTCGCGAAAAATATACTGCTTGAGTATATCAACCGCACTGACGATGAAGAAGTCTCATGTCAGCGATTGGACCTTCAACATGTGGAAAGGGAAATTTTCCCCTTTCCTCCTTGAAATGACAAGAGAAAGGGTACAAACTTCTTCATCGTCCGTGCGGTTGATATAGTCAAACACTTTAATTTTTCGCGACGTGAACTCTTTTGCTCTCTGCGCGTGCGCAGACCATACTAAGAATGCATTGACAGCACCATGCAGAAGTGCACATTTTGTTTTGAATGAAACTTAGTTATTTTCTTATTTTTTTTAGTTATGCTTGGTATAGTTACCAAATTCAATACTTTAGTTTACCATTTCCATAAAGAAAATGTGAATTTATGTTTATTTATGCATGTGAGATGGTCGAAAAAATGCTTCTCTATTCGGTCTATAGTGAAGCATTTTTTCGACCATCTCATATGCATAAATAAACATAAATTCACATTTTCTTTATGGAAATGGTAAACTAAAGTATTGAATTTGGTAACTATTTATTTTATTACACTTGTTTTTTCACCTGTCGTGAATACAAGGGAATTTGGTAACTATACCAAGCATAACTAAAAAAAATGAGAAAATAACTAAGTTTCATTCAAAACAAAATGTGCACTTCTGCATGGTGCTGTCAATGCATTCTTAGTATGGTCTGCGCACGCGCAGAGAGCAAAAGAGTTCACGTCGCGAAAAATTAAAGTGTTTGACTATATCAACCGCACGGACGATGAAGAAGTTTTTACCCTTTCTCTTGTCATTTCAAGGAGGAAAGGGAAAAATTTCCCCTTCCACATGTTGAAGGTCCAATCGCTGACATGGAACTTCTTCATCATCCGTGCGGTTGATATACTCAAACAGTTTATTTTTCGCGACGCGTCAAAAATGCTATTTTACAGGTAATTTTAATTAGTTATTTTACTAATTGCCTTTTATTGCTCATAGCCAAAAATGATTTTTTTGGACACTTTGAAACTCTAATTTTCCATTTTTGTAAAGAATGTGAAAAAATATTAATTTTTGTGGGAGAAATGGCTATTACAAAAGTGCGATTTTAGTGCTTGGTTTGTTTACCTTTTGGTTTGTTTACATTTCACAACTTGGACATGCCCTTAATCTTTTGGATTAAAAAATATTAAATTGGATAGAATTTGTATCCATATACTTCCAACAGGTAATACCGGATTTCTAGCTTACAGAGTTCGGATTGCTCCAGACATTTCGCGGATTAAGTTTTTTTTAACTAGATTAAATTCGGATTGTTGCGGACTGATTCCGTATTCTTTACATATTTATTTCGGATGATTCCGTACTTATTTTAGAAAAATTCTTCACCGGTCATA